TGGAGGACACAGTTTCATTGTAACTGCAAGGTTTAGCATGGATAAATAACTCCTGTGATCCAGCTGCTCAAGCTTTCAGGCTTTGACATGCTTATTGACGAAAACGAGAGAAGCGAAACAATCAGGCAGTCAGGATGCTCCTGTAACTCTGCTGTCATTGTTACGTGAATACAGTATACCAAATATTTATGCTTTTATAAGATTCAGGATCACAGAAGATAAATATCTCTTTTATCTATTTTGTTTTCTTTGGAGGAGTAACGGAGGGTGATACTCATAGTGGAAGAATAAAATTCACTTATACTCTGACAAAAATTGCTCATTTGTCAGAAAAGGATCCTAGCAATAACTTTTGTTTGCTGATAACCCCTACAGCCCAGCTGGCTTCAAGCAGGTAGCTGATGGCTTGCAGTCCCCAGTCCATATCTGACTGCTGACCTGTGGCCAAAAGCCAAATCACATTTCTTACTCATGCTGTGGGTAAGAAAATAACTGTTCCTACCTATGTGTGACCACAGGCTGCCTATGCACCTTTGCAAAGGGTTGCTGATGAGCAGAATTTTGACCCTTAGCACCATAACAAAACCTGCCAGCTGCAGCCTGATTTCTGAGCATAGGGTTGGTCTGAGGAATTTGGGAAGGCTAACATGAATATCTAGTAGTGTAAGATCAATGATAGTTGTGTGGTGGGTTTTTGTTTTGGTTGGGGTTTTTTTTATTTTTCTGTTTGTTTTTTTAATAGAAGGCATATTTTTTGTTATGATCGGATTCAGAGGATTCTGCTCTTAAACAATTGAGAAGGGATATGCTATGGTTATGGAGATCCTGAAGAGTCAGTCAATGGATCATTTCTCTTAACACCTTCCTGTGCCACCCAGAGTGTAGATGAGATGAGAAGCAAGAAGCAGGATCTGATGAGTCTGCTCTCCCAAGAGACAGTGAAAGGTCAGGAGCTGTCCCTGCCTCTCCAACAGTTCTCACTCTCCTGAGGCAGGAGAATCCTGTTTAAGAGGGAGAAGTGAGCTTCACACTGCTTTTGGTAAAAAAAAAAAAAAAAAAAAAAAAAAAAGATGGAATTTAATGCTTTGTGTAGGCTTTCTTTACAGCTGCAAGACTCAAAGCATTTTCCTAAAGACTGTTTTTCAGGAATAATAAAGGCACTGAAGCCTGGGAGGTGGCAAATGCCAAAAGGTTTTATTTATCTCCTGGTGAAATTTAGTCCATATTTTAAAATGTATGTATATGATTCCTCATGGCGCTTCATAAGATAGGAAAGTATCACTTCTGTGAAGGAATTTACATATGTGTTTTGTGCCACAAAGGAGTTCCAGCCAAGGCAAGACAAAGGTTAGAGAGGTCTTACCTACATGATGTCTAAAATAAAATGCTGTGATGATTTCCAGACATGAAGTTGCTCTTCTTTGAGCAGAGACCTTATAGCAGTTTCTCAAAGAAGAAGCAACCTTAAATGACTGCTGTCTAATGTAGAGGAAGACTGGTTTAGAGATTTAAGAACTAAATGACTATATGGTCTTCTGTGCAACAGAGAGATATATGGCTGTCATCTTTTTGAAAGACCAAGTAGTATTGGTTGCTGTTAACCAGGACTGCAGACACCCTGAGATCTTTTAAAGGAGTCAAGCTTGCTATCCTGGTAAATAGATTACATATTCCGTAATGCCTGAAAAGCCCTTAGAGTTTCTGCTCAGTATTACATCAAAAACAGTGTAAGATGGATGAGCTCTGGCATTCCAAGTCCCTCAATATTATGGAGCATGAAAGAGAAATAAACAAAGAGACAGGTCTTATGGGTACATAGATTACTTCTGATGTTTAGTATATACAGAGTAGCAGCAGTGAAGTTCTGTCATAATTTGTGAGACAGTCTAGCAAAAGTAGGGTGCTATTCTTCTGGTGAAACATAACAGACATTGTACAGTTTTAAAAGAAAAAAAATCTTTCAAAAAATCCCTCATATTTTATTTTAGTCATGTAAATTCAGATAATACTGAAAGCATTAAGAAAACAGCAAGTTTTATAGCCTTATTCCTTTAGCTGGGATTCCTAAGTATAATTTCAGTAAAGACGACTTGTTGTGGTTTAAACTCAGTCAGCCACGCAGCTGCTCTCTCACTCCCCCCTTATGCTGTATATGCTATTATTTCCTATTCAGTAGTATTAAAGATGGTGTTAATAGCTATACCTAGTGCTTTGTGTCGAAAGACCTTTCTTTCAGTATTTAATAATTCTACTAACATTATCCAGTGTAGCTGGTGTTTTTCATGTCAGACATACTTATTTGGGAAAAATTCTGAAGAAATTGACTAAACCATTTTTACTGCTTCTAAGAATGAAACTAAGGGTCAAATGCATTGTTTTGCCCAAGTTATAAAAAAAATGTGCTGACATCTTTATGCTTTGGAGCAAGGTCTTGAAATGTAGCAGAAATGTGGTAGATTTTCCCAATGCTGCAAATTATAAGACTCTTAGAAATCTTATTCTGTGTTAGCCTGGTTAGGTTTGTTAGCGCTCAGCAACTGGAATTTCCACAGCTTCTGTCTGCACTGAACACACTCCATTCTGTTACTCCTGAGCATTGTCTGTGTTATACTCCATGGTGCTGCCACTTTGTTTGACATGAAGAAACAAAAAACAGATCCTGACTTGAATCTGAGAAAATATGAATGGAGAGGAGGAGGGCAAAAGCTCAAGTAGCTGAAGGTAGGGAGGGTTCTCTATAGAATCCCTCCTTCTTTCAGTGTATAAGATATATGGTGTTATGAGGGCAGATCAAGATTGCATATCAGCCACAGTCCTCATCACTAATCAGGATCCTTGCCACATGCATTGCAAATGTGGGGAAGTCTGGGAAATATGTGTTGCTTCAGAAATTGAAGATACTCTAATTGAGTATCAGAAGGTATGTACATAAGAAAGATAAGATGTGGTTGCATGGATCTTTATTCCTGATATTGTTCCCTAACTTTGTGGAGATTAAATTGCAAAAATGTTCAGTTGTTATAGTGTCTAGTGTAATTATTCATATATGTACTTTGTGTGTTATATAGTTATACATTATGGAACTGTAGGAAAAAGGCCTAGAAGAGAAGTAATCTAACCTGCTGCCTCAAGGCCATATCATGTTCAATCTGTAGCAATCTTGATGGATATTTGCTTTACATTTTATGAAAAAAATCTCAAAGTCGGTCTTCAATTTTATTAAATATTTTATTTGAATGACTATCCAGCCTTACTCTTAAAAAGCTTTTTCCAGTGCCTGAGCTGCAGCTTTCCTGATGCAACTACTTCATCTCCTATCCACAGTGGAAATGCAGAACAGGTTATTTTTTTCCTCTTGCAACCACTTATATATTCACAGACTTTTATCATGTTTTCGCTCATGTTACATGAACCAAATAATAATAATTCTATTCTTTTATCCACTTAGGTCCCATCTTTTAGAATTTTATTCCTTCTTTTTGTTCTCCCAAGTTGGTCTAAGTCCTTCTTTAAGTGCAATGCTCAATACTGGAATCCATACTTCAGAAGAGGTTTACCAATGACATGTAAAAATAAAAAGACTATTCCACAAATTTTATCACTTGGTCTGCAGACATTCATGGTGCAATTTTAGTGAAATCACCAAAAAAAAAAAAAAAAAAAAAAAGGTTTCCGAAGTCTTTTTTTCCTTATGTAAAAAGATACTCTTTGAAATGCTGTATGCATTGACAAGGACCTTCTAGTTAGTCTGAATTCTCCTTTTCTCTGACTTGCAAGTCAAAGTAATAGTAAGAATATTTTCTGGTATTAAAATTACCTTTGAACAAAATAAATGTTATAAAACACAGATGAAAAACTAAAGAAAAACCTAAGGAATTTTTAAAACATTATTAATATGCTTGCCTCACCCCCCCACCCCAGGCCTTAATCTTTCAACAGAAACATGACTTTTTTAGCCTAAGTTGATTAAATAATAAATTAATAAATATTGAACTAAGACAAACAGTATTACATATGTGCAAAACTGATCTTCTGATTGTGACCAGTGTAGACCAATTGGGAGTTCTCTGAGTTAATTTGTAACAGAATATTCGTTTTCCTATTTGCCTTTTAATAATAGCAATGCCTCTCTGAATTAGCACAGACATTACAGGCTCAGTGTTTGTCACACTAGTGCAAAATCCATCTTGACACCTTCCCTTGGAAGAGTCAGCCTGAAAGAAAGCATCTACAAGTGCAGAATGCAGGGTTTTATCTTCTCTTTCATCACATCTTTAATGTCTTGAGTTTGGAAAAGAGTGAAAACAAAGCAACAAAGCATCCCCATGGAAGTTTGCCAAGGAAGGGGTTAAAAAAAGTGGAATCTTTGACTTTGAAGGGCTGAATTATCTTTCTGACACCAGCAGGGGTTGCTGTCACTAGTTTGTGGTTGTCACATTCCTGTTATGCTTGACCTTGGAAAGGCTTGACAACACAGTCTGGACTTGATTAAGGGAATTTAATGTTTTTCCTTTGCTAGAGTCACCCCCCACCTCGACAAACATTTAAAAATGTTAAGAAAAAAAAAAAAAGTTTGGAAAGCAAACATTTTCCCAAAAGAAACTTCTAGTTCAAATTTACACCAAGTTCACACTAACTGGAGCAGTCCGGGTTTCCACTCACACTTTGAGTGCTCTCTGTAAACCATTAGTCACTTCCCTGGAAGAGGCAGCTTTTTTTATAAGCAGCAGGATAAAACAGGCACAGATGTGTGTGTAACATTAGAGACTTTCACATGTACCTGCATTTGTTTCCCCCTCAGTTGTAGAAAAGTAAAAACAGTGTCTATAGACAGAAATTAATTGAAGCTTTGACCTTCATTTGGTTTTGGACAGCTACCATGAAGATCAGTTTAATTAAAAGAAAATATCTTGTGTTGTGGATTTTTGAGATTGTAGCAATTTATATCATAAAGGTAGAAATTCTAATTTTTAACAGGTTGGATTTTTTTCACTTTACAGGACTGTGATTATGCCAGCTGCCAATGAGTTTGATCCAGAGATTGTCCTGGTGTCAGCAGGATTCGATGCTGTGGAAGGCCATGACCCTCCACTGGGAGGGTACAAAGTCACAGCTAAATGTAGGTATCATCATAATGCATATGTTTCTGCATTGGTATATTTTTGTAGTTAGGAGCCTTATTTTAAGTTCATCTTACATCCATATTTCTATTTTGTGAGATGACACCCATGTCACTGAGGTCAGGGACTATCCATTAAGTTAATATGCAGAGATGTCAGTGGAACTGTTGGTCTCATCCGGCACGTGGACAGGGTGGAAATGAACATGTTAGCATTTCTGGCTCACTCCTTTCTGTTCCTTTTGGCATTTTCATCTTGGCTTTTTAAAGTATTACTTTTCTGGCATTCAAACAGCATTTTAGAGGTTTCATGCTTTTCAATAGGCCCCATTTTCCAAATGCTGGAGTAAGTTATTTCACTTTATATATATATTAGTGATTTTAGGCTTTGGAGGCCTAAATCCAATCTCATATTGCTCTTTTGTTATTGTAAACTTTTCAGCTCAATGGCATCAATCCTGAATTACAACAGTGTTCATGAAGGCCAAAGTTTTCTAAAAGACTACTCTGTTGGGTCTCAATGTTTGTGTGTCCCTTTCAGTCTTCCAAAATGTGTGCTCACAGCAAAGATTTAATATGTTCTGAAAAACAGGTCTGTTTGAGGTGTCTCATATGTAACACTCCAAAGTCACTAGCTCTTGCAGAATATTGTGCCCCTACTGATTCTGAGCCTGCGATGACAAACAAGGCTGGCTAATGTAGCAATGCCCTGTACAGTAATGTGCACTGTAGCATCTCCCTATATAAATTGCTTTCCATGAGACAACACACAGCTTTTCAGGTTAATGCAGTAGTTGCACTAGAAAGAAGCATAGTATCCTGTATGCATGTTTGAGTATCACTTAACTGTGTATCATGACTTTTAATAAAACACTGTGCATGAAAAGGCCCCTTGTAAGCTGTTTACTAACTGTTCTTTTCCGTAAGTATGCTTCCTGGTCAGAGGCACCATTCCATGAGCTTATGTGGTACGGACATGAACTTCCAACTGATAAAAAATAGAAATTTTGTTGGGATTCACTGTAAAATTATCTGTATTTAGCAGCTGAGAATGCATGCTACATGTTCCTTAAGCATGTGTGATGCTCCAATAAGATGCTTTGGCATACATGATGTTCTGACATAGAAGCTTCAACAACTTGAGATCTCAATAACATTCCTATTTTTGTCTTAGGTTAGACTGAATTTCACCCTGACAGAAAAGAAAAACTGATTGTTATTGTAAACAGTATTAATTTTCATTGATGAACCAATTAACTCTTCATAACTTTTTTAGAAACTGAAATCTTAGTACATTTTTTAATATGGAAGGCTGCACATCTACAAGTTACAGATGTGTCTGTAAGCAAAAAAAAGTGTTTTACAGTAGGTGGTTCTTTTTTAAATTAGAGAAAAGTAGATGGCTCTTGTTTAAATTAAGAGGAAAGTCAAGATAGACTCAGATAATGATCATGAACCTGAGGGATGAATAAAGCTTTTTGTAGAGAGCCAAAGGAATTTATTATTTCCCCAAAACAAAGTTCTCCGCATTCCACTGTACCATTTTTAGAACACAGCATACTATATGAATGAAAGAAAAATGAACAGTCTATTAAAAAAATTATGTCCAAAGCGAAACTTTCATATTTAAAACTAAAAAAAAGATATTCATGTAAATTTGTAATATAATTGGTTTGTAATATTTAAAAATTATGCCCCAAATAAGTAAATGTAAATTAAATTATAATCTGTAAACATTTGTTCTTCATAAATCTGTAGCATTTTATGTATGCTTAACACATTGAGTTTTCTGATTTCTATGACCCAATACAAACTTCACAAATATAACTAGGAAAAGATTGCCATCAAAGGAGACATAGTAACCATGCTGTTAAAGAAAGTCAGAGTGACACTAGATTGTTGATAAGGAATCTTTCCTTCAGAATGCTGTCAAAAAGACGAAATTAAAATGTATTAACCAATCAGCATTCCCAAGCCACAAAGTAAAAACCATAGGATAAAGGTAACAGACTGGACTAATTACACCCTTGGAGTAACCATATAGTAGGCAAATTACATACACAAAAGATTGCTCTACTAAATCTACACAGTTTGAGAGATTTAAATTATAACCTACTTTAACCTACTTTAACCCAGTATTTTATTTTTTTACTATATTGATGTATAAGCTGATTTACTAAGGAGTTGCCATTTCTGACTATTAAAGAAATACATCAGCAACAAAATAGTTGCATATATTTTTCAGCTGATTTTTAAATGCATGTATCTAATGTGCATGTCAAGACCTCTCCTGACCCTCAGCTCCTCTAGAAGGCTGTAGGATAGAAGATAGCTAACTAAGATCAGCAATGACAGCAGGTTAGGAGATGATACATCACTTGCCTAGTTTATCTCTGGTCCTATTAAGTAACAAAATCACTACTGGTCCTTTTCCATTTAAAAGAAAGGTTGTGTTTAAAAATTATTGAAATGGAAGTTTGGATCATCCTTTCCTTATTGTACTTTTCAAATTACTTTCCCTAAGTGTACCTTTTTCTCAGACTGCCTCTGCAATTTATCCTTCTGTTGATATTTTGAGACAAAAAGCTTTCACTAAACTAATGAATATTTAGCTTTTACCTGGCCCCAAACCAGGGCCATTGCTCAGTACAATGTAGCCTTGAAAGTGAGCATTGCTTAAAACATTTATTACAACCCCAACTTTGAGGATTTCATAGACACATTTTTCTTTGTGTTGGTTCTTCATGCTAATCCTTTCTCTCAATGAAGTCCTACCATTTTAAAAGGTGCTGATATGTACCTAGGTGCACATACACATCTTGAAACATACACTCAGTCCATGTGCATAAACTTTGTGATGGATTTGATATTCTGTTAAGAAGAAGATTGGGCTTCAAAGACTTGAGATGTCTGGTTACATATGGCAGAACTGGTTACATATGAGAGCCAGGAACCTCTCAGGCCTTTGCTACCAGCATATCTTATTAAGATATTAAGAATATCTTAAGAATATCTTAGTAAAGATCTGATCTTAGAAAAGGCAAGCTTTATCAAAAACACTGCTTATAAGACTACCTAGCATAACTAGAAACAATAGGTATATTTTTGACTGCACAACCACTTTGTCTGGAAGAGTCTGCCCAAAAAAAGGAGTTATGTCTGAAAAGGAGGTTGTTTTCCAAATATACCTTTTTTTTCTGATAAAGATATTATCTCCACTCGCAATCTCTGGCTTGCCCGACTCTTTGCGCTATGATAACTGCACTAAATTTATCACCAAAAAACAAAGAAAAGAAAGCTAAGCATATAACGTTAAACCTTTCTGGTAGCTCTTGTCCCACTGTCTTGCATCATCAGTTATAGGTGCCAACTCCTGCTCAGGAAGTTCTCTACTGGTAGAGATAATCAAGCTACTACAGGATAATCAAGCTACTTATCTCAAATTTTACTTTCTATGGCCCTTCTTTTTGTATTGAAGCTTAACTTGATTAGCTGAAATAGCAGAATATGTTTTGTGTTGTCAAGTCCATCTCTGTGTCTGTTGCTTTGTTAAACTATTTTCCCAAGCTGTGTGGTGAAGGTGGATGCAGCTCTTTCATGCAAAACTCTCTTATACAGAGTAACTATTGATGACATTGGGATTGCTTTGTTTAGATTAGGGACTATAAAGGTGCTTCAACTGTACTGTAAAATATAATGAGACAAGAGGAAAACATGCCCCAGTTCCTAACTGGCCTAATACTTCCATTTGATTACCAGAAATGTATTGGGGTTTTTTCAATAAAGATTAAATATCAGCAGAACATACTACATATTATAAAAAGAAACCAAACTTGTATCAAATCCATTTAATGTACTGGAGTAGTAAAAATTGTATTGACAATAAAATAAAGAAAAAATAATGGGGGGGAAATAAAGGGGATAAATGAGTTTTATATTTAGAATAGTAAGGAGACACAGATCTACTCTTCCATCTTATCCTGGATGTGCTTAGGTGAAACTACTGAAGATAGAGCTGATATATTCTGTGTTTTATATTATATTTAATTTATACAAATTCTACTAAAACACATTGTATTGTCACACCATTTAAATTTTGAACAGTGAACAGGTTTGAAAAAAAGCTGCCACATATGATCATAAATTTGCAAGTTGTTAGGTATTGTAAGAATTCTGGTTTTAAATTTAGCTCTGATAACTGAAGTTCTCCTTCTAACATGATCTTGAGATGAAGTATTTTCTCTTTGTTTTATAGATCAGCCCTTAGAATAGTGCTTGCTTTAGAGTCACTGAGATCACTTTACATTTAAGTAAATGTACATAATTTCTCATTAAATGGTGACCATTACATAAAAAGAATAAAGTATATAGAGAAGTGTCAAACAAGAATGAAGATTTTTTTCTTTTCAGAGTACTTATGTTCCTGAAGCACTTCTTAACTGTCTGTAAGGGCCTGATGATTTACTAGAATTTTCCTGTTTTACTCTCTTGTTCCAAAGGTGCTATTTGACACCAGAGTGCAAAATAAAATCAGCAATTAGCAGTAGGAAAAGGTACCACTGCAGGCATTTAAGGAGTAAAATACCTTTTGTCAGTTTATATACCTGTCTACTGTTATGCCAAATTTGTGATGCAAGGTTAATTTAGGGTCTAGAATAGAACTGACTCTAAATAAGCTGATTTGCAACTTTTAAAGTTGTATTATGCTGTGATAAACTTCCTTCAAGTGGGACCAGTGAAAAAAGTGCTAAAGCAAAAACTATGGACAGTTTCCCCATCTCTGGAGGCAAGTCTTATAGGACTTCTCTGTAATAGTGCACAATCTGTTTGATTAATCACAGCATAGGAAACAATTAATGCTATAAATATATCAGCCTAAGTGCTAAAAATTAATGTGCAAAAAGAGCTTCTGGCTTACCTCTATCCTGCAGATCTTCCATTGGAAGATTCCAAGAGGAATACCTTCTCTTGGCTGAAACTAGTACTTCTCAGAAAACAAA